TACATCAATGAGTTCGGTTGCCCGTCTCTGGGCATCCCTTACCTCATCTTGCTTTTTACGCAATGGGACTTTCATCCCATCAACCCTCAACATCACCTGCAAAGCAGCCGGAAAAAAAAAGTTAGTGTTCCAATACACAACAACCGGCAATGAACAAAATGGTATAAAAGCACCCCAACCGGTGAATTACCTCAGCCATCAGTGAGTTGATGCGGTCAATGTTGACCTGCTTTATACCCGGTACCGCCTCCTTTTCATACCGGGTAAGGGTCCTGAGCATTCTCTTGGCGTAGCTCTAGAGATCCGGCCAACGAGAAGAGGCATCTGCATCAATAAATTTATCGGTTAAGTACTGAGCATATGCAGCGCCTACATTCTGCCGACTGACTGAAGAATCCCCTGATTGGGTAGCTTGGGACTTGACTCTCACAGGTCCAAGCGGCCAGGGGGGATTAAAGGTGAGAGCAGTACCTTGATTTTTAGGCTGAGGGGTTGCTCCACCCCCAGCCGCATCTGAGCCGGATGCAACAGCAAGCACCCGCCTTGAGGGAACTCCGGGCTCCCCCATTCCGACCTCAGCCGGCCCTGAACTCGGGCCAAGACCTCTCAGGCTTTTGCCTGCTGAGGTGGGCCTCTCTGGAGCCGGCGGCTTCCCGATAGATGCAGGGGCAGCCGGAACCTTCCCTCTTTTAGAGGCAGGCTAAGAGGGCTCCCCACCCGGCCTCTTCAGAATTTGCCTTAGGGGTCGAGGATGACTCTTGCTCCCCGTCTGCAAAAGAAAACAACACAGCCGGTTAGTTTCAAATGAGCTACTAATCATACCGCCGGTTTGTGTCAAAGTGAGCCAAACATCATGCAACCGGTTATTATCAAAATGAGTTACTAATAATACAGACGGTAAAGAGGTCATCCGGCACTTACCCCATCATCTTTGGCCGCAAGCTGGGCCCTCTTCTTCTCCAGCTGATCCTTCCGGATCTCAGCCGCAGACTTAGCCGGTGTCTTCTCGGAGGCACCATCTCTAGTCCTTACTCTGCAAAGAAGAATAAAAAAAATCAGAACTCATTCAAGCATGATACAGACAGCAAAAGTGCCGGTTAACAATCAACATACATCTGCTGAACATTGTGCTAAGACCACGGGCGGAAAGGAACGCCTCGTCCTTGAGCCAGTCCGGATGAGGGACCTAGTGTTTGGGGACAATAACTTCTGTCCCGTCATCCAAAGGCAAGGTTGTCTTTTTGAAAAGACCCGGCTCCATTATTTGATCCTATACCGCTTCCGGTACTTTAGGAAGGGCACACTTCTTTCCAAGAAGAGTCGGGTGCTTATTGTAGTGACGCAACCGGTGGTTGAGTTCCAGCGAAGGGGAAGAAACCATATAAAACTTGATTTTCCGACTGCTCCACTTAGACGGCTTATCCAGCGTCATCATATAATCCGAATGCGTGGTCAGAGTATACCACGCATTCCAGCCGCCTAGGGCACGACTGAGGTAGTGCATATGTGCAAACGCCTCCTAGCTAGGCGTTATGTCCTGCATCTCGCAGGCGGCGATATATCCTAGTATGTTCACCCATTAGTTGGGTGTTAGTTGTCAGACGCCAAGGTCGTAACCCCTTAGAATGACTCTTATTGTCTTGTGAAGGGGGAACCGGAGGTCGGCTTTGAATGCCGCCTCGTAACAGCCAAAATAATAGTTGGCATGATCAAGGTCGTCCTCCCAGACGACGGTTGCATTGGCAGGCGGCACCACTATTTCCCATCCGGCCCCAACTGGACGCTTCTCCAAGAAAGCCGGTAGGGTGGCGTTTAGAGTAACAATATCCCGGGCGCTCATAGTCGCCTCTGTTGGATTGTTTATAGCGTGCCACTTATATGCATCCTCATCTTCTAGAGGGGCATCCGGCTCCTCGGATGACTCAGAGGAATCAGATTGTTGGACGGATTCTTCGCCGTCTAAGCTCCCGGATTTCTCCAAAATCTCATCTCCGGGCGGGCTAGGTACGCCCGGTTGGTCATAAGGAACATCCTCAGCCGGAGTTTTGACTGAGCCGTCTGACTGATAATCGGGGTCTACAGCCGTCCATCTAGTCCGAGCCATTCTGTCCTGCACATGAATAGAGACGGTCGGATTCGCAGAAGAGTAAGGGTGGTCCAAACACCCCCAGACGGCATCCCCAGTCCTAGACTCAGCCGTGTCCGGTGACCGGTTGACAACTGTCCTAGGCCGTGCCGTGTGTGTGTTGAGTGATTAAGTCCATTATTCACTAACAACCTATACAACCGGAAAAAAGTGCAAAAAGTTGCAAGGGATAGAGACGGTACCTTTGGAGTTGTAAGAAATCTTGAAAAAGTTGACTCCTCGAAGTAAGCAGCCGGAAATCTGAGTTGTTGCTTGGTGATATCCCAGACGGTAGCCCGGATGTATCCTCTTCAAAGAGCAACCGAAATTTGTAAAAGCCCCAACCATTTCCCTGAAATGTGGCTCGAAGATACCCTAGACGATAGTAACCGACTGTGGGTGTATTGAGAGCTAGGGGAAGTAAACGGGTGGTCAAGCGGTTTTGAAAAAGATGGCTTGAAGATGCCCCAGACGGTAAAGAACCGGCTGTGGGTATATTGAGAGAAAGAGAAGGAAATTGACTAAAGTCAAGCGGTTTTGGAGAAAATGGTTTGAAGATGCCCCAGACAGTAAAGAACCGGCTGTGGGTATATTGAAAGCAAATGAAGAAGCTTGACTAAGGTTAGGCGGTGTTTGAGAGCTTTTGAGCAAAGAACACTCAGGCGGTGTCCGGATGAGTGTAGAAAGAGGAAGCTAGACGCAAAAGCAGCCGGTATCTGAGCCTTTTTCTCTCAGGAAGCTTGTGAAAATTTGCAAAGTATTGCAAATGAGTGTGAAGGGTTTCCATTTATAGAGGGAACCAAGGAGACGAACCGTCACTTCCCCTTCAAATTCAAATTCGAAATTCGAATTCAAAAAACAAAAAAACAAAAAAATTTGGAGGGAAGGAGACGAACCGTCACCTTCCCAGAATGTGATACGTCACAGGTGCCACGTGGCAAGCCACGTCATACCTGTGAGGGGCAAATGTTTAGGGTAAAATTACCCTATGCCACGTGGCCCAATAGCATGCTGACACGTGTCAGACTCAGGAAGGCCCAACGGGATCCAATCCTTCGCTGACACGTGGCACTTTAACGCTAAAAGGGGAATTGATCCCCTTGCACTATAAATAGAGGAAAATCCTCATTTATTACAGATCCAAAGAAAAAAACATTCACAAATACACAAAAATACAAACACAAAAACTAAGCAATATTAATTGCAGAATTCTCTCTGAATCTGAGAGAAAACCCTTTATATTCCACACTATACTCCTCATACGCGTTCTAACTTGATCGTCGGAGGTGGTATTCCACCCAACCGGAGTTTCCGTGGTTTTGCAGGTACAGACGGTCGACGCGCATTCTTGGAATTGTAACTCTCCCGAGGGATTCCAAAAATCCCGAAACACAATCCAATCTACTAGAAAAAAATGGATTCAAATTTCAACTCGTATGAACACAATAATTTATCATAATTCTACTTTAAAATAGACCTGAACTTATCAAACCCAATCTAAGTACATGAATGAACACCTCTACCGAATTATAGCCTTATAGGATTTTTTTATTTTAATTTTTAATTTTTTGACAAGTGACGAGAAGAAAACTAGATCCTAATAGACTCTATAAAACTACAATTTAAGTAGTGAATATCAACAATGAGTAGTGATTACAGGATTCACAACAATTAGAAACCAAAGATTTGAAATGTTTTAAATTGGATTTGAATTGAATTCGAAAAAGAAATTGACTTCCTAAGAAACGTTTATGTACCACATAGACGTTATCAAAACAGGCTATATTAAATTAGAATTTCTATTTATCATGTTTACTTATCATTAAATATATTTAATTTTGCGACTAAAAAAATTGAGCATGTGAAAAGTACACTTTTAATACGAATCTAATAACCTCTCATATGAACTTTTTAATATTATTAAAGGTTACTTCGTAGTGTGCAAATAATGTCAAATTTAAATCACATTTGAAAATAAAATTAGATAATTAAAATTAAGTGAATTAAATATAGCCTTAGTTGACACAATTTGACATACTAGTACACAAAATATTAAGCAAATTAGTTAACTTCTTATCTATATCTTGAATTTGCGACTTTTTGCACTATTTCAATCTTTTTTTCTTTGTATCAAATAAAGCTCGATTGAGCTTAATCAAACTAAACTCAACTGAACTGAAATAAATTAACAAAGGTCAAACTTTAATGACATTAATAATGGTAAAATTAAATTTTCTCTATTAAATTAGAGAAATATTGTTTTATAAAATCATGTTACATCATCCTAATATGTTTTAATATAGATTGATTATATGATGAGAGATGCTTAGGAAGAATTTTGTTGAATTCAACAAGAAATGTGAGACTCTAACTTTTGGCAGTTAAAAAAAAATACTCCCTCCATTTCAAATTTCTTCTTTGGTCCCCACCATATAATTCTCCTAAAACTTTGTATCCTCTCTAACGTTGCGATTATTATGAAATGAAGGGAATAAAATAATGTGTATGCCAGGTTTACATACATTGTTATAAAGGTAGTGTGTGTTAATCAATGGAACATGATGAGTAAGCTAAGAGAGAAACATGATGGTTAAATTGAATGAAATGTGTAATTGTGTAAATTACTTGTTTTAAAGATAAACAATACATGTCATATACATATTATTATAAGGTAAATCACGCTGCAAAATTATAAAATAAAATAAAAACCCATAATTACTTATTACATGCTTGTAAATACTATTCCAATCTTTTTTTTTTTTTTAATCTGATGTACTTTTAACTATTATGACATGTTCTTATGTTATTCTTTACAATAGAATGATTCTCGATAACATGAACCTGAATTTGCAAAAGGACGGAAGGGAACAATTACTTAATTAGGATAAGCAAAAGCAAGGAAATCCGGGTTAGACTCAAAAGTTTGCATTTCTTTCTCCTCTAACATCAACCATGATTCAATTCCATCACCATTAATAGAATGACAATAATCAGTGAGAGTGAAAAAGTTCATAAACCCAGGAGGTGGTTCTTTCCCATCCGTGGGACCAATCCACGCAGGCTTTCCGAACCCGAAGTCCGCCTCATTTAATCTAATCTTGCACCAGCTCGTAACCCAGAAATTGCCCTCTTCATTCTCTATCTCACCTCGCAACTCAGCTTTCCGCTCTCTCCGCTGCATTTTCCCCCTTGAAAAGCTGTACTGGTAATTTTCTGGCTAGTATTGGACAAAGCGGAATGGATTTCCTTAACAAGATCTTGAAGCCTAGAGTTTTACGACTTTTGTGAACCATTTGTGTGCGTGCCTGTGCGTTTGTGATAAGGTTACCTATGGATCCTCTTGGGAGTGGCGGGCTTAACCTTGACCGCATGTTCACAACAATTGAGAGCTCTGTTTGTTTAATTTGCACTCCTAAAGTAAGCCTTGCGGCCAAGGTTTACTCCCAAACAAAACCTACCACGACCTCAAATTTCGTAGGGTTTGGAATAAGCTTGCTTGTTGTCTTGGCCCTAAGCTTGCTTATTGCAATAGTGTCGAATATGAAACTTTTGATGACATTGGTTGAATTTGGTTGTTTAAGTGGGGGATCTGAAAAGAGATCAAGCGAAAAGATTTGTTCTGAATTAAGAACTGGAGGAAATGCATTGACAGTAGCATTGAAGTCGAGTTGGACTAGGTCCTTCAATCTATTACTAGCAAGGGCTGACCAATGCTGAAGGAAAATTCCTAGGGATATGGAGCATGTAGCATCCAATTACCACCCTTCCACAGAGGAATACATTGATCTGAAAGGCTAAAGGTATGTTATATTGTTGTACAAAAAAAGCTAATTAATACTACATTCGTTTTGTAGTAATCACAACACTAAGGTATGCACGAAATTTTAGGAGAATTATAATGTGAGGCCAAATAGAGATAAATTGGAAAAAAGTAGTGCAAGTGAGGTTGTAGGAGAGAGAATTAAGAGACTTATTCTGAAAGTGTTTTTTTTTTTCTTTTTCTTTTTTGACAGGAAGAAGAATATTATCATTAATAAATATTCATAACATATTTAGAGAAAATAACATAACTTTTACTATCAAAATCATAACTATTTTGCATATATGACATAGCTCACACTCCACTGCTTCAAACTTGACACGAGCAGTGATTATTATCAAAATCATAACTATTTTGCATATTCTGAAAGTGTAATTAGTGGGAGACAGAGATTATAAAATAATAATGAGTCCTTACCAAATAAGAAAGTATTGCAATTATTATAAAACGAACGTAAAAGAAAAGTGATTGATGATTTTGAACAAACTCTAAATGTGAGGCAGATTAAGTGATTTTAAGACATACTTAAAATATCCCTTAACTGAGAAAAAGCCTAACAGGAGACAACTCTCCACTATCATTAACAAAATTGGGAAAAAGCTCTCTGCTTGGAAGGCTAATATTCTATCTAGGGGATGGAGAATAGTGCTTCTACGATCCACTATATTTTCCATTCCTAGATATACAATGTCTTGTATCAAGCTCCTTAAGTTCATCTTAGGAAAACTTGATTCTATTTGCTCCAATTTTCTATGGGGAGGAAACTCTGAAAAAAAAAAAGAAAATTACTTGGATTCCATGGAAAAATGTTTGTCGTGAAAAGGATAAGGGAGGTTTGGGTTTTCTGAACCATGGTGACCTGAATCAGGTTGGCCTAGCTAGGCTGTGTTGGATGGTGAATACAAAATCTAATTGGGATGGGAAACTTCTATTTGAAAAGTATATCAAATATAAATAGAGCCCTACCCCTTTCAACAAAGGTTCTCAGCTCACATATGGAATGTTGTGGGAATAGGCTGGGATCTGTTTAAGCATAGCCTGCATTGGGGACCTGGGAATGGTGAAACAATTAGCTTCTGGTTTGACAAGTGGCTGCAAGGTGATATAGTGAGAAGCCTACTTGTGGGTCCCCTTCCAAACCATTCTCAATCCAGATGCTCGAACTCCCTCCCAATTCACTCTAGAATTGAATTGGAAGAGGCAATCCAATTTCAGATCTTTGATGATGATTTCACAAGGATTGACAGCATCTCATTGACAAACTGTAATGACTATAACTCACCAGTTGGACAAAAAAGGGGAAGTTTGACAGCAGTAGGGCCAAACAATGGCTTATTTGCAATAGCAGCCATCATCACAACCTGTCTTGGCACAATTCTTAGGATTGGAGCACTATTTGTAGTGCTCACACTTACCCAAAAATTAGAGTGTTCGTCTAGAAATGAGTCTAGGATAGACTTCCTATTTCTGATAACTTGTTCTTCAGAAAAGTTAGAACCTCATCAAATACTTACACTTTCTTTAGACACCTGATTGTGTCTCCCCAAAAACCAAACCCAATGATGAGTACCTTTCACATATTTGATTATCGAGTTAGGTGAAGATTTGAAGAGTCTTGTGGATTTCCTTTAAGCCGTAACCATTTCTAACCTTTCCTTAAATGTTTTAAGCCAAAATCATTAATTTTATGTCCTTCAAAATCATTCCTTCCGTGTCCAATTTATAAAAACGTCTAAATTAGTCTATTTTGGTCCATGATATCGGTCCAATTATTGTATTGTTGGATGGGTTTTGAAAAGAACTTTCCAACAATATATTATAATCCCAAATCCGACTTATAACGAAGATGTTATGGCCAAAATACTAAACTGAGCCTGAACCAAGCCTTACCTGCGACCCAATGATCATGTGGAGGGTCCATTTACCTTAATCCCATTCCTAAACCAATTAGGATTTATTACAAGCTTCTAGAATCCTCTAGAAGGTTGTTTTCAATCCTAAATCCTTTAGGATTTTTTATGAGCTTCGAGAATTCTCTAGAAGGTTCTAATTTATCCTGTTTTTCGAAAGATAAAGATATAAGAATTTTACATCGGATAAACAACTGTTTTTCAATGATCCTAATCCCGGTCAAAATAGAATACGTACGGATATTTGGTTAACCCAATCCGATTGGGAATCAAACTCCATATGGATTCTATCTTTTTAAAAACCATCGCTGAGCGACAACACCATCGCGCCGCGATAAAGCTGTGGCGCCGCTATGGAGCCTGTTTTAGTCCGAGTTGAATTCCGACTCTTTTCTGATCCTTCGACTCTCATTTTTTTTTCCTATAAATAGAGGTCGTATCACCCTGTTTTCAATCACCAACAATCATCATCAATACCCTCTCTAATTCTTTTTCTCTCTCTCTTGATTCTCTATGTTCTTAGCCTAGCCTAAACACGTCCCAAACACACATCCTTGATACTCTCTTCAATTAAACATCATACTTCCATCACGAGATTCGAATACTACTCCTAGCCATCCTTGACGTTTCCTTCGACCTCGACGTGAAAGGTTGATAATTTTGAGGGTTTGGTCCCAAATCTATATTTCAATTCATATATATTTGATTTATTTATTTGATTTAATATTTCTTGAAGTTTACTAACGTGTGTATTGTTTTGATAGAAAGAAATACGAGGCATCATAGTAAGTAATTCGATTACTTAATTATTCTTTTGATATAGAAATCATTCTTAGAATCTTATGTTAATTCCTAGTATCATGTTTATGGTGTTAACTAATATTTCTAATATCATGTTTCTAGTATCATGTTTAGGTTAAAGCTTTGATCTTGATTTATTAGTGACATGTTAGGATTTGTTATTAATTCTTTTAGTATCATGCCTAGGAACTTGCTAACTATGTTTTGATGGTATTATTATGATGATGATTGTTGTGTCAAATATATATTGCCTGATTATTCATGATTTATTGTTATTACTTGATCACGCCCCTTCTTGCGGGATTAAAGAGAATTTGTACTTGAAATCACGCCTAATAAGATAATTAATAATTTGAATTTAGGCTAATGTGATTTTAATTCAAGTGATCACCAATAATAGATTTGATTGTGCATTAATAATCAACCAACGTAGATTAAATATGCTTAGGATTAATTTGATGTATGTATGTTGATCAAAAAGCGCACATGAATATCATAAGAATTAAGTAGAGGCCAATTTAAGGCGGGTTCAATCTCTTTTAGGTTAGATTCATACCATCATCTCCGAATATCCAGTCATGGTTCCGGACCACTATGGAGTTAGCAATCTCCGTGATTGTGAATGGGATGTAACCTTCACACCCGTGAGCGGTTTATAAGTTCCTAAAACTTGTTGGCGACTCTTTTATCTCTAGATTCCTTCCTTTGGACGCCACCATGCTTAAAAACATGATCACAGTGGGGCTCAAAGTTGAGTTTGAAAAAATCCTTACACTTTATGTCCCTCCTCTATTGAAAACATAGACCACATCTTCTTCCATTGCACTAGAGCTTCTGAATTTTGGAATGAAATCTCTATTCCCCCAAACTGTTATAGAATAATGCAGGGTCCTCCAAGCTTGGATCTTGAGAAATCTCAAATATAGCCATCAAAGCCATAACAACCTTCCATGGAAAGTCATTTTCAGTTTTGCCTTATGGCAAATCTGGAAAAGGAGAAACCAATGTATCTTCTCCAAATCAAACTCACGTATAAAAACTTCTACATCCCAGTGCATATGGGCTGCTAGTGAATTGAATGGTACCTCTCAACAAACCATCCTACTAGATTAGAGCCCATCCAAATTGTTTGGGATCCTCCCCCCCGCCACTCCTGCTTAAAAATTAATGTTGATGCTTCCTTCATTAACCACTCCAAAGAAGCTGGCTGTGCAGGTGTTTATAGGAATGAAAATGGTTCTTGGAAGGAAGGTTTTCAATGGAAAGGATACTCTGTGCCCTCAAAAGATGCTGAGTTGCAAGCTATACTACTAGCATTGGGTTGGATTAGAGATCGAGGATGGGTGAAATGTAACATTGAGACAGAGTGCAAGTATCTTGTAAATTGCTAGTAGTTGAGAATTGTTCCTCATTTGATAAAAGAACAAAGAATTATTTCTCATTTGATAAATGAACAAAGAATTATTGCTCATTTGATAAATGAGCAAAGACTTATGGTTCATTTGAACTTCTACAGCAATAACAATACATCTACTGTGTTAGCATGTACAACATGATTTGATCATTAGCAAAATGAGCACAACTATTCGATACAACACTGATTCATGCTATCGGTTAATAATGATAAAAAAAAATTGTATAACTAGCAGCAAAATGAAAATGAAAATCAATACCACTGCCTCTAACCATCAAAAATATCAATCTCATTAAATTTGTTCATTTAGGTTTGCTCATATGTTTCAATTTGCTCATTTTTTCCTACATGATTTATGTCAAATGAAAGGATCTAAATAATCAGAAGCTCAATATAGAAAACTTAGAAAAATGAACAATTAAAAAGAGTAATTAAAATTAGCAATTAAAATGATTTGATCATTAGCAAAATGAGCAATTAAAATGATAAGCTGAAATTCAATTGATCAATTAAAATGTTATTAATATGCTACATTAAATATGCTCAATCATCAGAGATTATGGTCATTAATTACCTCCGTTTGCTCAATTGCATTACAATCAAAATCTGTTTAATAACCAACAATTAGATTATGTTCATTAATTGCCTTAGTTTGCTTTTTGTAGACACCTGATTGTGTCTCCCTAAAAACCAAACCCAGTGATGAGTAACTTTCACGTCTTTGATTATCGAGTTAGGTGAAGAGTTGAAGAGTCTCGTGAAGTTCCATTTAACCTTGACCATTTATAACCTTTCCTTAAATGTTTTAAGCCAAAATCATTTATTTCGTGTCCTTAAATCCAAAATAGTTCATTTCGTGTCTTTGAAAATCATTCATTTCGTATCCTCTTTATAAAAATATCTTTTGGTCCATAATCTGGGTCCAATAATTGTGTAGTTGGATGAGGGTTGAAAAGAGCTTTCCAACTATATATTATAAGCCCAAATCTGAGTTATAACGAAGAAGTTATGGCCAAAATACTAAACCGAGCCTTATCTACGACCCAATGACCATGTGGAGGGTCCATTAACGTTAAACATCATTCCTAAATCCCTTAGGATTATTATTAGCTTCTAGAATCCTCTAGAAGGTTCTAATTTATCTTGTTTTTCAAAAGATAAAAATTAAAGAATTTTACTTCGGATAAAACACTTGTTTTTCAATAGATTTAATTCTGATAAAATTAGAATACGTACGGAAACACGGTTAACCCAATTTTATTGGAATTCGAATTCCATACGGATTCTATCTTTTGAAAAATATCGCTGAGCGATAGAAATATCGCGTCGCGGCGGAAATTTACTCCGAGTCGGATTCTGACTCTTTTATGATATTTCGACCCTCGTTTTTCTTATAAATAGAGGTCGTTTTCCCCCGTTTTCAATCATCAACAAGCTTGATCACCAAAAATAATCATCTTAATCTCTCCCTAAGCTATAAGCTTTTCTCTCTCTCTCTCTTTCTCTCTCTCTCTCTCTCTTTCTTAGCCTTAGCCTAAACACATCACACACCATACGTCCTTTGCGAGACTTGAATACTCCATGCCCTTCTCGTAGTTGCCTTCGACCTCGACGTGAAAGGTTGATATTTCTGAGGGTTTGGTCCCTAATCTATATTTCAATTCTTCTTATTTGATTTATTTGTTTGATTTATTTATTTCTTGAAGTTACTAACGTGTGTATTGTTTTGATAGAAAGAGGTACGAGGCATCAAAGTGAGTAGATCTACTATCCTTATTCCTTTAATGTAGAAACTATGCTTAGAATATTATTTTAATTTCCTAGTATCATGTTAGGATGTTTTTGTGCTTTCTAGTATCATGTTAGGGTGTTGTTTTAATATTTCTAATATTATCATGCCTTCTAGTATCATGTTTAGGCTAAAGCTTTGATTTTTATTATTCAGTGACATGCTAGGGTTTGTTATTAATCCGTTTAGTATAATGCCTAGGATCTTGCTAATATTATTTTGGAGATATTGCTTTATTATGATGATTGTTGTGTCAATTATTACATTGCTTGATTATTTATTATTCATTGTTATTGCTTGATCACCCCCTTTCTTGCAGGTTTAAAGGGAATTTGTACTTGAAATCACGCTTAATAAGATAATTAATATTTGATTTAGGCGAATATGATTTTAATTCAAGTGATCGCCAATAATAGATTTATTTGTGCATTAATAATC